TCTTGCCTTGACTGGTTGGATCATGTCCAGATCTTACCTTGACCGGTTGGATCATGTCCAAATCTTACCTTCACTGGTTGGATCATGTCCAGATTTTACCTTGACTGGTTGGAACATGTCCAGATTTTGCCTTGACCGGTTGGATTATGTCCAGATCTTGCCTTGACTGGTTGGATCATGTCCAGATCTTGCCATTACTGGCTGGATCATGTCCAGATCTTGCCTTCACTGGCTGGATCATGTCCAGATCTTACCTTCACTGTAGTGTTGCCAGATAGGGTTTTTTCCCCCCAGATTTAGGGGTTTTTTGGCCTTTCGGGGGGAGATTTAGGGGGAAGAACTTTCTGGGGGGAATTTTGGGGAGATTTAAACAATTTGGGGGATTTTTGGGGGGATTTTTTCATGGTTGCCGGCAAAACTTAGGGCCTCTTGCACCAATCTCCGGTTAAGCTGATCGACGATTACAGATTGCCAACGTTCTAACGTAACAGTACAATAGTACATATACTCATATCAGAGCGTCAGCTCTAACCTAAAATATTCTGTCAAGTTGGTAATCTATAATTGTCGTCCATCGATCAGCTTAACCAGCGGAGATTGGTGCAAAAGGCCCTTATATATTCTGAAACGTGAATTTTGAAAAGCAATAAAATGCCGAAGAGCCGAAAGAACGTAAAGGCGGCAAATGATAAAAAGATTTATGTTCAAAAATATCGGAAAGAGTGGGAACTAGAAAAGCAATTTGCAGGTACATAATTTTATTGTAAAAGTATTGTTCAGAAATGCCAAAAGAAAGAGAACGTAAAGCACAAATCACAATTTTATTTTCTTTTATGTACACTATTTACAGTTTAACCTTTGGGCCGCGAGACCTTTACGCAAGCGAGTGACTTGAGCAACAGGCGCGGCGCGACGATCTTGAAGCGAGCGACTTCACTTGCTCTGCTAGCGACAGAGATATTTGGCTTTTAAAGCCTAAAAATCTGCGAGCGACAGATTTTTTGATACGTATTGCTTCGGTCGCGCAGTTCGCAAGCGACGGACTCTCGTTAGAACTATCGTGGAACGAACACGAATCTAAACGACGATCGATGCAGCGTACTCGTGGAGCGGTGCGAGAAAAAAAGGCCTTGTTGCCGGTTTGCACCCTCCTTTTATATTCCCTCAATTCTAGAATGTTCTTGAAACTCCTCTATACGGAAGTGACGTATGAGAAGGAACATTCCAGAGTCGTGAGAGCAGTCGGATGACTTTTTCTTTCAACAACAATAGTTGTTGACAAGATTCCATGCTTGTTTTTCGAGCTTGAGCGCCCGGTAGCGGGCGTACATTCGAATTCCCCCACATATGGTCGGGAGACGTTTGGCAGTAGAGCGCTTCACCCCGTGGTTCGCGCGGAGGCCGCTGGACGGCGCGCGCGAAACACGGTGCGATTAATTATGGTCGGGCAACTCCGAATAAGTATGGTTAACGAAAATTATTACTCTGTGAAAAAAATTGATGACAGATAAGTGAGTCTAAGATTTTTCGAAATGAACCGCAATCAGTTATAGAGTTTTGGGATAAATATAACTATATTAAGTTATAAATATTAGTTTGAGGATATTACTGGTTGTTGAAATTGTTTAACTGTTTGTTGCTCATATATGATGCTAGTCACAAAATCGCCACGATGATTCCTATAAAATCGCCTCTTCCTCGTTGCAACTATTTTGTCGATAAAATTTACAGTGTCGCCGAAATGTGAATTTGTAGCAATGTATTATAACTTCTCAGCAAACAAAGTGACATCAAATGACGCCTTAATACGTGTTAATGACGTATGTAACGTTAATAAGACGTCATTGAAACGTCATTGGACCGATATATTGGACGTTACCTTGTTTGCTGGGATATTTTATTAAACGGCTAGTTTGTTCTTCCAACAATAATTAATCCACGTATTATTTTAAATTAATAATTTATCTACGTATTCAAATTTATATATTTATAAAATGTTTTAATTCTAAATATAGATTGGCTAACTGCTTCACCAGCGAATTCGATCAATGCGTTTTGCAAATACTGCAAAAATGAGATCAAAGCGCATAAAAAAGATCTACAGGCCCACGCGCAGACAAAAAAACACAAGAATTTAGTAAAAGAGCACATCGAAAATGCCACAATCCCAAAAATCACACTATTTGCAAAGAAAACAATCAGCAAAGAAAGGAAAATAGTAGATGAAGCTTGCAACTTTTGTGGCGGAACACTGCTTGATTTATGCTGTTGACCACTTAGGATCTATAGTTATAAATTTAGACATGAAATCCGAATTTCTAAAGGACATCAAATTACATAGAACAAAATGTACATCATTGATGAAAAATGTAATTGCGCCGTGCATGCTTGCCGATTTAGTGAGCGATATTGGTGATGAGTTTTATTCTGCGATAGTTGATGAAAGTACAGCTATAGACACGAAAAAATTACTATGTATAATGATTCGATATTTTAGCAAAGCGAAAGAGAAAGTAGTTACTAGTTTCTATAGACTTATTGAAATAGAAACAGCAGATGCTGAAAGCCTGTTTCAAGTTTTCACGAATCAATTAAAAAATGATAATTTAAAATTAGAAAACCTCCTTGGCATTGGCGCAAATGTTATGGTTGGAGAGCATAACTCTTTTTCATCGAAATTAAAGTCCATAATTCCGCACCTAGTGACAGTTAAATGTCTGTGTCATTCGTGCCATTTAGCCGCAGAGTACGCATTCCGCGTATTGCCTAAACATCTTGATTTCTTGATCCATGAAAGCCACAACTGGTTTTCTTATAGTACAAAAAGGCAAGTGCAATACAAGTCTATTTATCAATTAATAAACAGCGAAGATGGTAAGCTGCAACCAAAGAAAATTGCTAAGCTCTCGGGCACTAGATGGTTAGCACGAAATGAAGCAATAAAAACGATTTTAAGGGTACTGTCTGGTTAGACAGGCCAAAAAATAGGCAATTTTCATGAATTTTTTTTGGAAAAAGTAAAAAATATAGGTACTCAAAACTTTTCAGATATATTTATTATACTTTGAAGAAGATTGCATTAAATTTTCAGATTATTTAATCAATATTCTAAAGCAGGACACAGGGCGACGTGGGACAGTGCGCAAAATACGGACCGAGCTGGCGACCTTTCCACAGGTCGCAAAAATTATCTGAAACAAAAAATCCAAAGATTTTTCTATTTAGTATGAGTGTGATTATGGAATAGACCACTTTTAATAAAATTGATTAAAAAATAACAAAATGGCGGCGTTTGAAAAAATTTTTGTCATTTTTCCTGAAAATTTTCGTTACTTTTCTGTTGATAAACAATCCATTATGCAATGTATCGATGAAATTATGGTCTATTCCATGGACAATTTAATTACGCGTATTTAAAAAAAAATCTTTAAGATTCGTTAAAAATTGACTGAGTTATGAGAGTCGCCAGCTCGAAAAACATCGTTTTCCAGAAAACGCGTTTAAAGTTTTAAGTGCAGTATTTTTGATATAAATGTTTATATCTGGATACTTACAGCTAATCAGCTATTCCAGGACCATAAAGCAGACCCTCGACTTCCTCAAAATTGATCTGGTCTTGCAGTCTCTCATTTTTTCTTGCAGCTCTCTCCTCCACTGACTGATACGTCGATAGCCGCTCAGCCTGTATGATCCGCTCTTTGTTGCGAATGCAAGCAAACTCGTACGCATTTGGGCCGATGGTGATTCCCATGATCGACATAGTTTTTAAAATAGGTTTAAAACCTTCATTAAAAATACAGGTGGCAAGATATGCTGCAATTATTATAATATTGGAGGAACAAAAAACGTGTTTTGGTGCAAACTGCCAAATAGTTTTGTTGAAGCACTCGTTGTTGTTCTGAGTGAATCCTCCACAACAACGGTTCAGCAAATCTTGCGATGATAAGTTATCATAAATAGGTCGAATTAATTCCTGTACTTTAAAATCGAGAGGAGGAGGATGGTTATAGGACTGCAAAGTTCCAGCCGCTTTCGCTTGCCACCACTTACACCAGGAATTTGGTCCGCTTGGGCAATACTCGTGCTGAGGCTCTTCGTTTGTCGATATTTTATGATAAAATGTTGCCCACATGTCGTTCCTTATTTTGTCAACATTATGCGGATTTCGTCTGATTGCAAGTCCAAAATAAATAGTTAATTCATTAATTAACTTGTCCGTAAGCTTTCCAGGACCATGTCCACCGATTTTTTTGTTTGTTTTTTTTACCTTACGCAATCTTAAGCCCATCCTTTTCTGTACATGGTTGATGCATTCCTTTTTTTCGACTTGTTGTTCTTGTTGTAATAAAGCTTTAAACGTCTTTGAATCTCCATCACCAATGTAAGTTTTATATTGCGCGTCGTGTAGAGTTTCAGCCCTTGCAAACATTTCCAGCATTCCATGCACCTCCATAGCTCCGGCACTTCTTTTGTGGTTGGCTTTACAATTTTCCTCGTGCTCGCTGAACCATGTTTCAAACTCGATTTCTGTCATTTGCTTTTTGTTTGTGATGCACATGTTACAAAAAGTACATTTTACCAAAGTATCTAGTACTTTACTTGTATAATGTCCAATCAATGTCACAACACCAAACATAGAAGAAAATCCACGTTTGCTCCACGATCCATCTCCTGATACTGTCAATTTTTTTTCCTCTTTTCCATCGGCAGCATTTTTTTCTTTTTCCTCACGACCTGCTTTTCTGATGACTTCGTTGTACACAAAGCTTACAGCAACGAATATATTTTCGACGGCAGTGTAGTACATACATTTGTTTATTTTTCTTCCAAAATCCATCAAACCAAGAAATGTATTAATACCACTCACAAGGGAAGTTTGCGAACCCAAAAATTCAGAAAAATCTGACTCTTGGTGTAAAAGTAGAGCAGTTCATCCGTAGTATGAAACTATTTTTCGTTGGTGCTCAATTCCGTTTTAAAGGAATGAAACCATCCCTTAGAAAAAAATCAGTTTTTTTCTTCCGACGTGAATATCGTCGTAACTAAGAGAGATA